CTAAGCCCTATACCTCAGCTCATGAACGAATATATGATCTAAAAGTAATGGGCCATCTAGTTATTCTTAAACAAGGGATTCTTTTGAGATTTGGAGCCCAGGGAGCGTGCCACAGCTTCCTATTCAGAGCAGCAAGACTATGCCACTGAAACGGATGGCATTGCCATGGAAATGGATTTTCAAGCACCATTGCAAGGCCTTCTTTTTTGTCAACTCAACCATCAAATGACAGGATCATGAACTCAGGATACCTTCCTCAAAAACACATCACCATCGTTGCGGGCCTCCATGAGTCTGCGCTCTGCCAGGCATTGCTGGTGAGAATCCTGGTGATGGCGGCGGCGGTTCGCTGCCGCAATCAATTGTTGAGAACTTGAAAACTCTCAAGCGCATGGGATTCCCAGACACGGAAAAGGCTGAAAAACGATCTACCTTGTTGCCCAAAGTTGTGCAAAGCTTGACCAAACGGCTAGCAAAACTAGACGAGTGTAAAAAAGAGATGACCGCTGCGAACTCGAGCTCAACCATTGTCTCGAAGAGTCTTGTTTGCATGGCTGCGATTGGCACCATGGGGTACGTTTCAAGTTTTGGGCTGCATATTTTGGAGTGCCTGTGGTGTGACGTTGTTGTAAGGATGAAGGAGAAGGTTGAGGAGATGTACGGCAAGATGGACAAGCTCTGTGATAAATTGAATCTGCTTCAAAACAACACCCTCTTGGATGGTTTTACAAAGAAGCAAGAAACTCAGGGCCCCTAAAAACACCGCCGATATGCTTCATGATTCCCTATCAAGCTCAGGGGCCTCAACACACCAAGGCAAGAAGAGGAATTGGATTCCATGATGGAGGAGGGTCGAACATTGTCCTGCCCCCAAAGCTTCTCACCTCTACCCTGCAGTGCCTGGTTGGACTTGCGGCTCCTCTCTTCCCAAGGCTCCTCCATTCATGGAGTTTGGAACAGCGAGCCAGGACTGGGTTTAAAGGTTCTGAATCTTCAGTCAGGAACTGTTTCAAGTCAGAGGAACTCTCGTTGCAACAGGACTGTGATTCCCAAAACCCCAAAGTCATCCGGAGGTGAGCCTGCAAGGCCGAAAGGCAAGGGCAAGGCTAAAACTAAAGCAAAAGCAAAAGGGAGACCAGCACCAGAGCAGGAAGAAGAACCGGAGAAACCTACAACAAGCCGCAAATCTAGGAGAACGAAATGAGAACAGCATCAGGGCAACTGACCCTATGTGGAGCTGAAGCCGGCAAGTGGTGAAAATCCATGCGTTGCTTTTGCATTTCTGACTTCGCTCCAAATTGCATGGCATCACAAACAGGTTTTGATTTCACTGCCCCAATCTCAGCCAGGTGAAGAAACCCTCCGAACCCATGCTCTGCGAGCTCTAGCCGAAGATGTGGGTGAGGGTGTGGGAGTCTTATATATAAAAACCTTTGGTGCATTGCTGACCTGCCAGTGCATCATCTTAGTCAACTGAGAGGGTGTCCTGTGTCTCACATTTGGTTCACACTTCACCCGGCCCAGGCTCCTGCTCGGCGGCTGGGCGTGGTGGCCAGGGCCTGCGTAGCGGATGGCTCGCAGAATGATGCGATGCATGCGGCTTCCAAGTGCAACCCCAAAAATAGTGAACGAGATGCCCATGCCCTTTTTCGGAGGTATTGGTTGTCACTACGTGTGCCGATCAGCGACGTTGAAGTTCCCCCCCAAGATGGCGGCCTGCACACCAGCATCCCATGCTATAAGGTGACGGTTTGCTAAATCATGTTGGGTTAGTCTAGCTGTCAATACATGTGCCTTCTAAACGGGTGAGGCTGGCTCGAAGTAAAAGCTTGTTTTTTGCGGAACTTGGACTTGGACCATCAAACCCTGGTAGGTAAGGGACATGGTGACCTTCCTCTTGAAGAATCACCCTGAGGTGTTGCTGGGGGGTGATGCTTTAGGCCCTGCGGCTGCCCAACGTTGCCAAACCTTTTGGCAGCGCTATCGCTGCACCCAACCGGACCATGCAGTTTTCCAGCGTTTTGGTGATGACTCACTTGGGAGGGTAATCCCCCTCTGCATGCATGGGGACAATGGGAGAACATTGAAGAAGTCACCAATTGCAGTCTACTCCTTTGAGGCTGTGTTTGGCTTACCCAAAGATTTGCGAGAAAGCGCGCTGGAACCCATAGAGAAAAATGTCAGATATGAGGAGGGCCACCTAGCTCAAACATGTGGAGAGCGAAGGTCCAATCTGTCTGTGTGCCGACCCCCCCTGGACTTGGATGGGGCCTGCACTGTGGAGCTTCGCCGCAAACGTGCTTCCATGGGCGACGTGCAAATGCACAACACATTGGGCAACTCTATAGTCTTGTTGATCGAAGTTTTTTTTGTGGTGTGCTAATGAGTGGTTGTTGGGGTGCCGTTTGACAGGTGGTTGGGCTTCTGTTCAAGCAACATCCACCTTTATCGGGTTGCGAAAGTCGCAATTGCTATTATAAAGCCTCTCCTGTTCCAGGGGTTTTCATCGGTTTATCCGTGTCCAGGGTTTGTGCATGTGAGGCCACTCCTTTCTATCTCGATTCTTAATTACAGCGGTGCCGTGGGCTGTGTTCTCAGACAACTCTGACATTCTTCCTGCAGTTCTGAAGGACATTGCCAACTGCTTCCGGTCTCTGTTTCAAGATGGCGTGTGTGTGGATGACCAGAACTTCTTCTTTGCTCTGATAGGGTGCAAGGGAGATGCTGAGTTTCATGTCCATGCTGGTGAGTTCCTGCGCAGCTATATGACTGTCGGAGAGGTGAATGACAATCCTATGTGCCCATACTGTGATGCCCACACATCCAACTTTGGGGATGTAAGCGATTCTCCGTGCTGGCTTCCCAGTGTTACTTGTCCGAGAACAAATGACAAGTAACTATGGTTGAACTAGACCCCATGGGTAAACGTTCTACTTTATACTACAGTAGTTTCAGAGTAGATGGCGCAATCCCTGAGAGGTGCTTTGTATGAACCCCCATCTAAAGGACATCTTGAGTTTGCACCATCTACTCGGGAACTATACTGTATATTTATGCTTATAATCTTCTGGGGTGATGGCATACATCAGGTTGGAGCTTCTGTGCCTTGGGAGGCATCGATGCCTCCACCATTGAGCATCATACCCTTCAGTGATTCTTTCCCCGCGAGCCTGTACAGGAGGGACATGTTCCATGTTGTGAAACATGGTTTTGGAAGGGAGATATGTGCCTCGGTCCTGCTACTCCTATGTCACTTGACATATTTTGATTGGGAAGGGGACACTCGGAATCTCCCTGACAGATTGTCTCGGTCTTTCATGATGTTTAAGATGTGGTGCGCAGCGGAGCACAAAACAACGTCTTTGAAGCATTTCACCAAAGCAAATCTACATGTCACTGGTTCTCCATTTCCTTATCTCGGAGGGAAAGGCTCTGACTGCACCATGGTCCTGATGTTTTTGCAGTGGTATCTCCTTTTGTGCTTGAAGGGGATCAAAGCACCTGATCACCAACCGATCTTGAGGGTAGTATTGCAGCTGACGGAAAGCATTTTGAATTTCATCAGCGTGCAGTACAGTCACGACCTGTGGCTCCCTTCGAAGTGTGCAGAGTTTATGTACTTAGAAGGCCTTGTGGCCCTTCGAGCGTACAACTATGCTGCCCAATTTGCTTTGGAGTTGGGGAAACCATATTTTGGAATGAGACCCAAGTTTCATAGCCTGGCCGAGACTGTCTTCGAAACAAAACAACATATAGACCAGGGAGATGAGTTTATCCTCAACCCTGTTACCTTCAATTGTGAAGTCAATGAAGATTTTATTGGAAGGATTTCGAGGATTTCAAGGCGAGTCTCTAGCCGACTGTGCACACAAAGGACCCTGCAACGATATGGTTTGGGGTTCAAGGCTCGACTCACCAGAGTCAAGAAACACTTGCGAAAGAAAGCCTGATCATGTGGGAAAATGGCATTCGGCATCTCTTTCTCGGACTTCCAGTTTTCACTCTGACTGCTTTGTTACTTTTTTCTTGAAATGTTACTTTTTTTCTTGCTTGTTACTTTTTTCATCAAAAAACCTTTGTTACTTTTTTTTTGCGGCATGGAGGTTCGAGGAATGTATATAATATATACTGTACTGCAAACTATATGTCTTCGAGCAACTGCCCAACTACACACTTGGGGGAAGCGAAAGACCTTCAGGCTACCCTGCCAGTCAGAGGAGAATAAACGCGGGAAGAGAATGCTGGAATAGTCAACCATTCGGGATGAGCTTTTGAATGTTCCCAGTGTTGTTTTTGTTGGACGTGTTTTCAACTAGACTATTTTATAGTGATTTAAAGGATAGAAATGAGTTCTAACATATTTGTAGGGCCCATATATGAATTCACGATAATTCACATGTCTACTCAGTTGCAAGAGTTGCTGCTTCTAAATGTTTTCAGTTTTTGTATTTTGTGGTTGGTACCTAGTCAATTTGGTGTTCATGTTCATGACAAAAGCCAATGACCCACTTAGGACACTGGACTCGACTTAGGACACTTTGACACCCCTAACTCGATGTTTGGGTCCTCGGTGTAAGCGAGCGTGCAGCTGGTCGGTAGATGAGTGTTTGGGTGTATACAAGAGCTACAACTGCCTGAACTAATCATGGAAGCGGAAAATCACCTGTTAGTACCGAGGAAAATTGTTTTTCCAGGGCATGCCATTTGCATGATTATGATTATAAACAAACATGATAGCGCGAGACGAACCCAAGTGATGACAAGCACACTCCAAAACAACCCCAAAGCAGAACTAGTTACTAGTTCTTCCAATGTGTTTTCCTACACACATACCTTCTCACGAAACGTGCCCTCCGACCCACCCTTTATCGATTTGTAGAATACAGGTATACAGGTGGTGTACACAAAACAGAAACACTGAGACCAACAAGCCCGGTCACGTTGGTTGTTTCACTCCCAAGCCTTTCGACCTCGACTCGACTCGTCTCTCGGCCTCCGAGGCTCGGCTCTGGGATGCGCTCTTGGCCGATCCCCGCCGCTTCGAGGCGCGAAGACCGGAACGACCGGGGCTGAAGCGGGGCCGAAGCGGGGGAAACGAACTGGGTTGACTGGAGGATCCTTGAGGAATCCAGAAATCACTCGGCCAACCTCGATGCAGAATTGAGAGCAAAATTGAAACTGCGACTTCCCCTTAATACCAAAACCACTGGGTGATATACAGTAAGCTTCCCTGTGGCCTGTCTCTCTCTCTCTCTCAAGTCGCAACAAACACCCTGTGACAGGGAGTGTCAAACAAAGCCAAGCCATGAATTTGGTTCGTGGCATGGAGTTTCCAGTGATTGCAGATCAGTATCAATACCATGAGATTCCTATAGTGCATGTCATTGCTACTGCTTGTAATTACTGGAGTTGGTTTATGTTTTGGTTTCACTGTTATCTTTTCTCCAACCTGACCGCTGTTTGGCCACTGAGCGCGCCAGTTTGCGGATGACCTCGTTCTCGCCTTGCTCTTGCTGACGCGAGGGGATTTGCTGCAGGCGGACCACGTCCGACGGGCACAGGTGCCACATCCGAAAGAAGGGTCTGAAAAAAAAACACACACCAATGAACTCACCCAAACACCTTCACCTGATGTGGAAACCCGGATCCGGATCTTTAGATCTGTGCTTTGTGAGCTTTGACACCACCCCCAAGAAGATGGATGGCCTGTTACCTGGGTGGTTTTAGGGGTCAGTGTATGCATAAGACCCATGCATCCATGGTTTGGGATAGTTCTTTCAGTTGTGTCCCATGTGTGGACGTAGGAATTCTGGCTTCATCACTGACTTTCATTACAGCTGCCTTTTGAAGCATGAGGTCAATTTCTACAAGCAAAAAGCTTGGCACACAAAATTCATCAAACATCCTTTTGTAAGCCACGGAATTGCTCCATGCTCAGCTGACCGAATGAACACCAATCGCGCCAGCGCGACGACGTGGGCGGCCTGGCCGAGTCCTTGCTGGCGGCGTGGCATGGCGGGAAGAACCGTGGAGAATGGGGTGGGAGGCCGTGGCTGCCGCAGGCGGTTCTCACACTGCAAGGGTCCTACCTGCGGAAGAGATGTACTCCGCAGGTAGGACCCTTGCAGGACCCTCTGCAGGCGGTTCGGGACACTCCAACTGCGGCAGAGATGTACTAGGGGAAAATAACCACTCCGCAGTATTGGAAGATCGATCGGAAGAAGTGTTCGTGTGGTTAGAAGGGCAGCTTAGCTGGTCCCAAGGGACCCTATAGGGCCTATAGGGTTTAGCTGGTCGGTCCAGTCTGTTTTCGTCCCAAGGGATTGTGAAGGATTCAAGTGGACATGTGCATCATGTGCCAAAACCCTTCCAGTGGACTATCAGAGACAACCCACTGAACCACCGGTTGGATCGGGAGGATACACCCAGCATTGCTATGCATTATATGTCTTGAGTCAATGAGGACTTGCATGGACGACATCAAAAGGATCATACAGATGCCCCAGACTCGGGCACTCGCCATGAGGATCCATCAAATCTGGGCCATGCCTCCAAGGAGACTTCTCTCAGCTTCGGTACCGTACCTCAGCTTCGACTCGACGTCTTAGCGTCGAGCACAGAAAACCATGCCGATCCCGAATCCCCCATGATTGGTCCTCTATAGCAGGATGTTGCCCCAGTCAAGGGGGATGCCTCAGAGGGTGCCAGTGGATCCCAACGGGTCGAACTCACCAAGGCCACTGGTCGTGGATCTGGAGCTGTTGCTGCGGAGGGCGTCGCTGGGAGCGATGGAGAAGGTGGCGGATGTGGTTCGTGTGTGGTGTGTGGGCTCAGTACACGGACAGGTGTACTGAGTGTTCTTAGGCCAGTGAGGCCTGCTACAGCAGAATCAGAACATGTGGAATTCCCAGTGCACATGTTGTGGAGGACTTGAAGGATTCACAGTTGCAACTTCAACAGGTGTGTTGGCTGGGATGGACTTGATCGCTGTCAAAGACCAGTGACCCATACGAGTTTGGGATAACATGTTTGCTTTATCTTATAGACTCTCCAAGTACCCCAAAAGCAATCCCTAAGAATCACCTTTCTTTCAAACCCACCATGTCTCACGTTTAACTAGGTGCATTAGGTGCACACTGCACTTCTTCGACCAATTCGATGCTGCAAGCAACAAAGAAAAGAAGTGGACCCACATCTCTTCTTCTTCAGTGTTTTGTCAGAAGAGATTGGCCTGACATCCGAGTGCACGGGTTCTCCCCCACATGGTTCCACCCAGTGCGTGCACATTGAGTATATTTGAGTATCAAGCGAGCAACAAGAGAGCGAGACGATAGAGAGCGAGACGACGTATTTAGTTTGTTGATGTTTGTTGATATGTTGGGAGTAAACAATGATGCTCCGTTGCTCCCTTAGTCATGTCATATGTATTCAGATACACACATTGACATGTAACACATGTACATTGTTAAACTATGTTAACGTATTCATTGAATTGCTCTTAGATATCCATACATATATATATATCGTATATATCCATATGCCATATATAGCTATAGTAGTCGTTGGGATAACTGGTATTGCATTTCTCACGATGTCTAGTACTGTCGGCGATCAGCAGTACTGCAGTACTCTGTACGGCCTCGCGGCCTCACACGCACCCGTTGGCCTCGGCGGCAACCACCCGTTCACTATCTGAGGTATGCCATTTGCGCTCTCCGGCGGCAGCACGTGCGGTCCGCTCAGTTGTGGGTCGGTTTGAGCTTTTGCAAACTCAGGAGGACACTGGTTTGCCGTTTTACAGCACAAGAATCAAAAGGAATTTCAGATTGCTCCTTGTTTGTTGGCCGTACAGAGGAACATCAGTAGGAACATCATGTTCTTCACCGCTGTATGAGTTTCATGGTTGCTTCACAGAGGGTGTTTTGCCACGTGGGTCTTCCACTGGGGCGTTTCATTTGAGGTTCAGCCCCCGTTTGGGGGGGGCTTTTGGGGGGCACATCATGTGGAAGATTGCACCACAACAAGCCTTGCTTGGCCAATAACCCTAGTTACAACTGGAGTTGCTTGGCTCATGAGGTAGCCAACGGGTGTTTGGCTCGCCTGAGTGAGCCTGGAATCCGATTGTCACTGGTTTCTACTAGGACCAACGTTAGTCTTCAGGTGTCGAAGGTGCGATTGTGCGTTTCTTCACGGATGGAGATACATACGATGTCCGCATTTCCTTGAGGCTGCATGTTTCTCTCTCAATTGCGTTGGTCCCTCCAATGTACTTTGCCAACACTCGAGATACATGATTAGTTCCTCTGAAAAAGTACAGTACCCTGCTGAGAAGCTTTGAAACGTCGTCAGAAACGAGGCCTGACTGAGGGTCCAGGTCTTTTCACTCCAAGCCTTCCTGGCGGATTCTTTCCTCAAGCAATTCGCCAGGGCCCCAATGATCAAATGCCCTTCCCCAAGCTGCCTGAAGGCGAGCTGAGCGTCGAAGGACTCGTCCGTTGACCCTTTTATGTCTCAAATCACGAAAGGTAGCCCTTTAGGGGATACCTTGAGTTTGTCTTGCGAAGCAAGTGTTGGGACGTCCGGGTCTAATAATTGATCGCTCAATTCAGACCCCCCCCCCCCCCCCCCCCTTGGAATTGATTTTTCAAAACAGACCCCCCCCCCTCCCCCCCTCTAAAATCAATTCTCTCCTGGAGAACGTCTTCGTGAGCCTCTCATGATTTCAGGATAGTTGAAACCCTCTTGAACATTTTAGAAAGAGTGAATATGAAATTCTAATCACGAAAGGTGTTCCCCGAGGGGATACATACCTAGAGTTTGTTTTGTGAAGCACGTCAATTCTCTCCTGGGGAGCGTCTTCGTGAGCCTCTTATGGTTTCAGGACAAATCCTATGATGTTCCGATTCAATGCTCACCGATGATCTGAGCCATGGGGCAAGTTTGTTTTCCTAAGAACCTTTTTGAACATTTCGAGAGCATATGTTTGAACATTTAGAGTGCATATGAACATATATTTACGAAAGGTCGCCTCCGAGGGGATAAATCACCATGTCGAACATTGCATTTTTGTTCCTGCCTCTCGCGTTCTCTTCTCTTCCCGCTGTCCTACCTTTCGTGTCTCCCTCCTCTCAAGTGCATCAACAGCTGGAGCGCAAGAGCAGACTACCTATATGGGGTGGGAGTAGAACACACACTCTGAAGGTTTGCAGCGCCACGGTTTCCGTTGATTTGGGGGTTCAGAGCTGGCTGGCAGAGCCCTCTAACAGCTTGAAGGGCCAAGCAAAATTGAGTTAGATACTAATAATGTAGACTCTTGATTAATAACCCCAGCCATTTGAACTGAAAATCCTCTTTATATTAGGGGGTGTATTAATCAAGAGTCTACATTATTGTTTATGTTGATTTTCAACTAAACCCACTGACTCTAGTTTAAGACACACCCATACACTACCGGCTGATCACCTAGGAGTTACAAAACTGCATGCCTCTGGTGATTTGCCAGTAGTATAAACCTATGGAGCTGGGCCAGGGCAGCTGGCTCGTCGAAGTTTTGACAACGCTTTGGTTTTTGACATCAGAGCCGGGCTTCCATTTGTGGATTGGATGGCATCATATATCAGATCTCGATATCAATATCGCAGGAGATCCCAGGCAACCACAAGTTTACTGGCAACCAGTGGTTCAAAGACTTGTTGATTGTTAGTTGTTGTTTCTTCATTCTTGCTTTTCGTCTCGTTGGTGATCTTGTAATTGGACCAGGATGTTGTTGTATTGTTTGGGATGTTGACATCATTACTTGCTTTTATTATATAAAGCAGGAGATCCCAGGCAACCACTAGTTCGCTGGTAACCAGTGGTTCCAAAAACTTAAGCCGCAGACCTAGAAGTCCTGGTTCCTTACATAGTGGTGACTGGGATCCTGTGGGAAATGAATGGTACTGTAATGTTTATATCTCTCGATGTTCCTGTTGCTTAGGCGGAGAGGTCTACAATTTGTTCTACACTACGAAGCACCAGTCAGTGAGTGACCAGTGATGACCAGCAAAACTTGAGATGCTTACTGGACTTATTTTCCTACGGAAAAAACCGGAGAACCAAACGATGAAACATCAGAAAGGAACAAAACAACACATTTACAAGCCACAGCTTTGGGTGTTGGACGAGGTGCCAGGGTTGAACTGATGGACTTCCCGACTGCGCAGGCATTGACCTCGACAGCGCAGTGGCCGTGAGGGTCGCCCAGATGGTGGACACTGCGCTCCTGCCTCGCTCCGATCGCAGAATTCACATCCCCCCGGCTGGGTGAGGAAAGTATGCTAAAGGTGAGCCGATCGATCTGACCAGTCGTCTTGTTTTTGTTGTGTTTATGTGTGATAAGTTGTTCTGTTTTTGTTTGATGTGTTTGAATCGGTGTTGCCTGAAAAGATTTTGTTGCACATCCTGGACACCTTCCAAAGCCACCCGGTTTACAGTCCGATCCCTTGGGAAGTTGGTGGTTGCGGTTCCTCAAGTCCGGAGCGACAACGAAAATTCAGGAATCCCATCCTTATTCCCCTGCTATTCGGACCACATGGAACCCCAAAACCATTGGGTTGGTAATCGGAAGATGGTCGAAACCACCGGTCAATTCTCAGGTTCTATGTGGAGTTTGCGGGAGACCTGAACTTTGTAGTAAACTTTAGTTCTAAACCTTCCTGACCCTTCCTGACCTTTACGAAACTTGCAACTGGGATTCCTGAACTTGGTACTTTGGGGGCTTTGACCGACCTGAGGCCGCCCAGGAAGGCCTCTCCTCACTCTGGGGCAAGGCGCACGCATGGTGCTGGAACCATGGACCATACCCATACCTGATCCATGGGCTTACGGGCAGTGGGTCACGACCATAACCCTAACCCTAAACCCAAGACTTATGACTCATCAACAAGACCATCATTCTTGTCCGGAGTCTATTTTGAAGTTGGAGGCCTTCGTAAAACGATCCTACTGCACAACGATATGGAGTTGTAGCCCACTTTGACCTCGTTTCACCTTATGGTCCATCACACGTTCCCCGCGATGTCCAGCAAAACCATAGAAATGTCAACGGCGTCAACGGAGAAATATATATCATTGTATCAATCATCATTCATGCCGCGGAAAGGTCTGCTTCGGACCACAATTCCTTGAAGCGACCACATGTTGGTTACATCAAGAGAGGTCCAGCACCCCTTCCTCAAGAACGATGTTGGAGCGATATTTGGATAGGAAGCTATGGATCGATGGTTTTTCTTCGATCATCGATCTGTCCAAAAACATCGGTCGGTAGCTTCAGACACGTGACACGAAGGTGACACCCAGTGACTCCTGGAGGCTGGATGCGACTCTTGCAGGTTGGATGGACACGTCCTCCTCGTGACTTCGATTGGTTTCAGCTCGGCTCACCTCAGCTGTTTCAAGGTGTCCTGCAACAAAGACGGACATAGCCTCCGTCTGCCTCTCCAGCCTGCCATCCGTGGAAACAAACAATTGATGACCCACAAGGACCCCCCACATGGTTCTTCGTTTGGATCCAGCTCCTTCCACCGATGCACCGGAATTCACGTCCCGTCTCACTCGGCCAGGTGCGTGCGGCCGGCGCCGGGTACTGGGAAGCAGTTCGGGGCACCCAGCGGTGGATTGGACTGCTCTCACCCCAGGCAGCTCTCTCCGCCAGCTCGCGCGGCAGGCGGTGGTGGGGTGATACCTGGATCTTCGAAACGGCACAAAGAATTGCCTTTTCAGGAAAAAATGCCGTTACGGCGTCTTTTTCCAAAGACTGCGTTTTTTGTTGTGACGAGGCGCACGCCGGCAGAAATTTGTGCCGTTTGAAGATCCAGGTATTCAGATGAAGCCGTTTGTTTGGGGCGTTTGTTTGGTGTGCCTGCAACAATCTGAACAGTCAAATGTCTTGGCTTTTGTGGCAAGCTTCTCCCTGAAGACCTGAAGAGTAGGTGAAGCTCAGTGGGATACAGAGTTGCATCAAGAAGTCCTAAGCTCCCATGACAATCTATTCCAGTGCTTGGGCCATGGGGGCAACCTCTTCCACCACTCGTGGGTCCAAGCATGCTGTTCCTTGCATGTATACAGGTGCCAAGGACACATGGTTGTGTCTGGGGCAACCTCTTCCACCACGCGTGGGTCCAAGCATGCTGTTCCTTGCATGTATACAGATGCCAAGGACACATGGTTGTGTCTGAGGAATCTTCACAGGGGCGGTCCCACTACAAACCTGTGGTAGAAAGACCCCTATAGACCAACCCGCACTAATTAGTTGTGTGTGTGGCGGGCTGGTTTTTAAGACGGCCTCATTCTTGTTGGCCTTTGTTTGTTCTCTTCAGCCTTCGCGAAAACAATAAGAGTAAGAAGAAAGAGCACAGCCAGGGAGGCACTTCTGTCCAATTCTCTTGGACCAAGTGGCAGTCACCTGCTGGTTATGCTTGTGAACACCGGCTCGCAGCTTGTAGCTCGCCACGCCGCCCACCTGTGGGAACTTGGCTGCACTGACCATGGCGGACGTGCAGGTTGGCGCCTGGCAGAAGCAACGACATGGGCCAAGCAGTGTATGGAATCTGTTGATGATGCATCAAGCATATCCCTAGGGCTCCAACCACATCCCCAGATTCGGTGGTTGGTGCCAGTGTGGTCTGTCCCTACCTTCCGATGTGGGACAGGAGATCTAGGGTGGGTATGGCATACTCTCCCACCCACTAACATGGACATGGAGCTCATCCCTTGTTTGTAGAGCCAAAATGGTCTTCTCAGGGGCCATCCACTTCCATGTTAGTGAGTGGGAACTGATGGCCTTTTACATCCTTTTTCCCTTGCGCAAGGATAGAGGGGATACCACGTGGATACCGTGGATACCCAATATTGGTCCATATTGGTCCTTGGATTGATACTATACAGACTATACATGGGGATACTCCCCGTTTGAACGGACCAATATACGTTGCACGTTGCATCAACCCCCCTCAAACTCGGCCGACGGCGTGACGTCGAGGAAATGGTCGGGTTGGGAGAGCTGAGGGAGGCATGAGATACATGACTCTGCCAACAGTTCCAAGTGGTGTTATATATAAAATGTAATTATGTACTGTCTTTAATTAAATAGACCCTGAACTTATAGACCCTCCAAAAGATCCGCTTCCAACTATCAGCTATATATATAGGAGCTATATACTTGGAGCTACACTGGCTGAGCCCCCCCACATCGCACCTGGGAGGCCGCGGAGCGCTTGGTCTCGCAGCTCCGGAGCTTCCAACGCGAGGGCAGCTTCTGCCGCTTCGCTGTGGGTTGCGCAGGGCGGAGGGTGAAACAGAACTAAGACTAGAAGCGCTCTAGGAGAGGACAACAACTCGTGAACTTAGAGAACACCAGAGGTTGATGCGTTGCAGGAGGAGTTTTTGGTAATGTCGAAAGATTCGACTATATTCGGCGGCTGGCTTTTGTGATCTTTGTCTCGTCCTGAGCTTTCTTCGACTCTCAGGTGATGTGCAGCTGATGGCCGCCAGGGATAGGCGTCCGTGTTTGAGATCAATGCTCGCAAGAGAAACAGGTTTGGTGAAGAGGTGCTTCTTTTTTGTTGATTCGCAATATTCCCACCATTTCCCACCTCTACACAATCATTTCCGGCAGGGTGAGCTCTCACCCTCTGATTGGGCCATCAGTTGAACCGCCAGACCGTCCCGTTGGCGCGTCCCGTCGGAGCGCGTCCAGTGGCTATAGCTGATGTGTTACCATGTGTGTACCCGGTCTTGTCAAGCATACCACCACGTGAAAACGAGGTGAAAAGACGTATCCTCCAAGTTGGAGGAGTTCCGAGTTGTTTGAAATCTGATGCGGAGACTCTTGTTGGCTGCAGGGGTTTGCTCAATCTGTGCAGGTCAGCCTTTCAACTGCAACCAACTTGGGTTGTTGGTTTCTTGGTTACATCGGGAAAAGCGAATCATTTTCGGCACCACCCCTGGTCACATGGATTGTGTGTTGCCAGGCTTTGGGCACATCGCTGTGTGTTGCAAGCTGGAAATCTCTTGCAGCCAGGCTTGAAGCAGTGTGAAGAAAGGGGTTTTACTGGGGATGCAGCACCTTGATCACGACTCAAGACTGTCTCCAAAACCAGAAGGAATCATCAGTCGCTTTTGAATCATACAGCTCATGGCTTGCATTTCGGGCGTGAAACATCGTGAAAGCATTTGCGTGTCTGAAAGCCAAGACATTTTGGGCCGGAGGGAATTAAATAGAATTGATGAATCCACCAGCCTCATTTCTTGGTTTCTCCCACATGGACAGCCCGTCATGTCGGCCAGATGACCAAGAGACGGTGAAGCTGGAGCTCGAAGGCATCAAGAGGCCGCTTTTTGTTGTGTATGCTCGGGTGAAGCGTCCCGGATGGATGTTGCGATGGATGTGGTAACCCCATACAGCCGATACCAAGCAACTACAAGCCTACAAACACATGTTTGTTTTTACAAACTACCCAACTCACAAGCAAATCCAACTAATTCCAGATGAACCCATCCAACAAATAGAAACAACCCACCCTCACCCGCCCAATCTTCTCCAAGCATCTTTCAATATCTTCCTATACTTATATAATTCCCATCATATTCCATAGTCCTCATATATATATTCCCCCAGAATTGCCCAGAATCCTCTGATGCAAAATCAGGATCCTCATGGATGACTTGTTTCAGTCCTCGGCATCCAAGGCGCCCCGTGTCCCGCGACACCGTGTCCGACCGTGTCCCACCGACCGGTCGACCGATACACCGGTCGACTCGTCGGTCGAAGGCCGGGGACCTTGCAGTTGCTGATGGATCGTCTCTACGGCGCGGAGTGGCCAACGCCTCGCTCCGGCAGGGTGGAGAGCGAGAGCGAGGGAAGAGTGGAGGGACCGGTGCAAGTTGGGGGAGCAAGGAGGGGTGAAAGGCTTGGTGAATGGTCTGCACATGGTGTTTTTGCGGTTGCTGATTGAGATACTGTTATGTTTTTTGTGGGCTAGGCACCGTAAGCGTGCAAGATCAGGGTCCTGTAGTCACAAATGGGTGAAAACAATAAATTAGAGAGCGTGGTAGTTTTGCAAGTTTTTTGGAAATCCAAGCAGGCCAGGCTCATTGCTTACTCTTTCTTCGTTTTGCTTAACAGCCTTCGGGTTCATGCGCTGAGCATGTCCTGAAACATCTCCAAAACACCAAGCCAAGCCTCCTCCCTGGGTGGCCTTCACGTCCGCAGACGAAGCCAGTCAGGCGCTTTGATGGAGGCTGCTGGTGCTCTGCTTGAGGCGAAGCACCTGGCCGCAGCCATGGGCTGGGAGGCGAGGGGGGAGAGAGGAGTGATGGGGCGGTCAGGCCTTTGGTGCGAAATGGAGTGGATCAGTTGTGACTGATAAGTCCTGCGTTATGTGACTGACAAGGAGTCATGGTAGTGTTGTATTTGGGCTGGGTGTTTTTTTTATGCTAATGTTTTTTTTTCTTATGCTCACAGCGGGGTTGGTGTGCTTTTGGGGTATGGGTTTCTTTTTTTATGCTTATGGTGCTTTTTTCTATGCTAATGGTTTTTTCTGTTATGCTTGCAGTTCTTTCTTTTATGCTCCTGGTTTCTTTTTTATGCTAATGGTTTCTTTTTTTATGCTAAGGGTTCTTTTTTTTATGCGGCACTGTGGGAAGAGGTCACGTTGGGGGGTCCTAGTGCAGAATGTAATTGTCAGGAGGGTTTAGTGCAGAATGTAATTG